CCCCCCCCCCCCCCCCGCACCTCCCCCCACCCGCCGCCCTGCAGTAGCTCCTGTATGTGAAGTCTTTGAGAAAGAGCTCCCTCTGCTGACATGAATGTGCCTTTGCTTTATTTTGCAGGAGGTGGTTTCTGGACAGCTGAAACCAGGTGAGACCTCAGCTTCTGCAAGTGCCTCTTTTGCTTCCCAAGTACACAATATGCTAAACTGTGAGGTTGCAAAATTAGGTCAAGTTATCTTTCTTAGACCTTGTGGCTAAATGCTTCCATTTTCATGTTCCTTGAATCAGTCAAAAATGAGCTTCCTAAAGCCATTCTGTCAGCTAAAAGTTATTATTTTAGATTTTATGTATATTTGGATTGGTTTCTTATTTGAAATTGGCACATTCATTTAAAAGGATGATACCAAAGGTTATAGATTTTCTTGGGTGGGTACAAAATACTTCTGTACCAATAGCTCCAGAGTTAGACCATACGTTATTAAATATATGTCCAAGGGTTAGATTCTAGATTTTTTATAAATGTTCTAGATTTTCTGGAGGTATATGCTTTTATTAATCTTATTTTTCTCCCAGACATACAAATATATTAATTAGACGGTGTTCTTAATTTCAGTTTGGGAAATATGGTCCTCTTCTGTCAGTATCTCAGTCTTAGGTTGTACCCAGGAACTGGAGCGAGGATCATGTCTAATTCCTTCTTAAATTTCCCAACATAACAATGTGAAGACATTTGGCCACTACTTCCTGAGGAGAATACCAGTTTTTATCCACCCTGTCTATGAGACAATGATTGTTACTGTGATGTCAAAGACTTTGGTCTTGTCCCAAGGTAGCCTTCCCATACTAAAGCTCACCAGTTTCTTTCAAAACAACAATCCAACTTAATATGGACCCACTGAAGTTTCAATTAAACTCTTCAGGGTTCCCAGTTCCCTACGGACTGCTGATTTCCCTCCATCCCACTTTTCCCACCACCTCTGCCTAAACATCTCACCCTCAGGCATGTTGGAATGCTCCAAGGATTATCATGTATTTCTGTCTCATAGGAGTCCTCTCACCCCCGGCCTGGGACAGTCCTTTCATTACATCTGCTCTGCCCAGGTGGAACCACACATCTCCTGTGACAATGGTGAGGTTTCCCCTATAAGAAGCTGCTCCTAGACTCCACCAGGGAAAGATAAATTGCTTTGAGCCCCCTGGGAAATGCCGCTCATCTCCCTACAGTACTCTGGAGTCAGATATTCCCAAAGAATAATCACTTCATGTGTGTCTAAAGAGTGGAGGGAATGCTTGGGAAGAGGCATCTGCAGAACATAACAGACAGAGACAGCCTGGTAATGTCATCTTTTCTTTCCAATGCACCCCAAAGAAGGAGATTTGGTATATGCTGAGATCCAGACTATTGACCTGGGAGAAGAAGGAGAAGGTATGTTTTTGAATGATTATAGCTAAAAATTATACTCATTCATTCAGCAAATATTTATGGAGTATCTCCCATGTGCTAGGTGCTATTATAAGTGTGGAGAGTCAACTCCCCACAGTGTGGAGCTTAGATTCTAAAGGGGGAAGATAGACATGAAAAAATACATACTATAGCTGAGGTTGTGGCTCAGGGGCAGAGCACTTGCCTAGCATCTGTGAGGCACTGGGTTCAATTCTCAGCACCACATAAAAATGGATAAATTAAAAAAAGGTCCATTGACAACTGAAAAAAATATTTTAAAAAATAATACTATATCTTTGCTGATAATCAGAACAAAAATTAAGCATCTTTCTGATAAATATTGTGATCTTGATGGTTTGTGTACTAAGGTTGCCTATAGGTCTGAATGAATGAATATTTGCAACATATGTACTACTATGATAGGCATTGCGTTGAGAACATTTATATATAAAATATTGGATACAAATTTACAATGGAGTTATGTCCCAGTAAGCCTGTCATAAATAGTGAATATTTTAAGTTGAAAGTCTATTTAATATTACCCTACCAAACCTCAAGTTTAGCAATCATTCTATGGTGCACCATAAAGTACCCATTGTTTACCATCCTGTGATACTGTCTTGGCTCAGTGTAAGAGTGTTTGCCTAGCATGCATAAGGCTCTAGGTTCAATTCCCAGTGCTGACAAGAGAGTATCATACCAACCAGCACTAGCCCAGGAAAAGGTAAAAATTTTAAATCTGAAGTATGGTTTCTCCTACAGTTTTTGCACAATTGTAAGGTCAAATGATTGTAAGTAGGAGTCTCTCTCTCTCTCTCTCTCTCTCTCTCTCTCTCTCTCTCTCTCTCTCTCTCTCTCTCTCTCTCTCTCTCTCCCTCTCTCTTCCTCTCTCCCTCCCCCCCTCCCTCCCCCCCCCCCCCCCCCCCTCCATAGATGATGATAGATAGAAGGCAATTTTTTTATAGGATGCTGAAAATGTGAATTTTACCATTTAATATTCCTTAATTTACTATTGAACTTGGAATTTTGTTCTGGATGAAGTTAAGTTACTTGGTACCAACTGGATCCTTTCAAGGCTTGCTTTTTTTTTTTTTTTTAAATTGTTTTAATTAGTTACACATGACAGTACAATGATCTTGACATATCATACATTTGACTCAGATGGGGTATAATTTCTCATTTTTCTGAGTGCACAGGTTGCAGAATCACATTGGTCATGCGGTCTCAAGGCTTGCTTTTAAGCTTCATTATGGCAGGTCCCAAGCAACCTTTAGAGGAAGGCTAATCTATCCCTAATACTAAAGCAACATTTCTGAGGATTCTACACCAGTTGCCCCATCTATCACGAGATCTGCACGAGCATCTGGGGTTATTTTGCCCGTTCCTTTCCGATGGTTCTTACCCAACCCAAGATAGTTTCCTCTCTCTTATGTAGTATTAATATTCAGCCAAAGACTTGAGGCTACATACCTGTCTGGAGATCTCTGGAGCTTTTGATCTGCCTTGCTGTTGTCTCTCTAGTACTCTGTCCTAGAAATTCTAGCTACTAAGTTTAACAGGACTGTTGGTCTCTGTCACTTGAAATCAGAGAGAGCAGACCAGCCTCTATTAGGGCTCTCCAACCTGTGCTGCGGTGTAGAAGTTGCCCCCAGGTGGCAAGACTGTGCAACTGCAAGGCTCCACTGTCTACTGGCTTGCTTTTAGGGCTCCCGGTCGGTCCTGGACTGCCTGTTGTCAAATGCCTGAAAAACATTGCATTATCTGTTTGTTTGTTTTCTGGTGGTTGAAAATGGAAAGGTAAATCCAGTCCTTTTAGTACCTTTTGGCCAGAATGAGCAGTCCTTCTTCATTTCCTTGAATCTCATTCAGATCCCATTTCAAGGCCCTCAAATGAGTGAAGACCTGCTGTTAGACATTACTGTGGTCAGTTGTAACCTGTAGTTCACTTTGGGTTTTTTTGTTTGTTTGTTTTGTTTTTTTGGTATACGCTATTTATTTTCCAAGTCAGGGAAATCACTTTTCAGTTTCTAAGATGAATCTCTGAAGGCTCCTTCACCACGCTGGGGGCTTATAAAGTATCATTTCCCCATTCCCTAAACACACACACACACACACACACACACGCACATACACACACACGCACACACGCACGCACACACTCCCAATAAAACTTCTGGGTAGAAACTCATTGCACAGAAACCGATCTCTCCTTCTAAAGAAATCTGTTCAACAAATCTTTTTTTTTTTTTTTTTTAAATCTCTCTCCATATTTCCTTAATTTGGTTGATTAACCCAGACTCTTAGAGTCAAAGAAACAAACTATTATTTTTTAATAAATCTAAATATGGCATCTCATCTGAGAATGTAAACCTCTAGTATCTTTGTGCCTTGTGGGAATTTCATTCATAATCTAACACTGAGCCTGTTTTGCAAATGAAGTAGTAGTTAAGTCCTTTCCCAAGGTCACAAAGCCTGTAAAACACAAAGCTAAGACAAAGTCTTCTGTCTTTATTTAATATTTGCTGCTTGTACAACCGATTCCTGCTTGACCAATAATGTATCACCTGATCATCTGCTTTGTCTCTTTGCTCCCTGAGCCAGCCATTGGCCAGGACCCTCTGAATAGTAGAATCAGAACCACTAATCATTTGTTTGGGTTGGTTGAGTGCATCTATCTTATACAGTTTTTCCTCGATCGATCATCTTTCCACTCTATCCTTAACACATTGGCCCAAACACCATTTTTGTTAATGGATTGGTTATATTTCAGGCACTTGATGTATTAATGAGCTGTAGAAAACCCTTTTCACTTGTTCCTTCAGGTTTTCATAAAGGCCCTGAGATCATAAGCAAAGCTCTGTGCATTTGCAGGAGGAATGGACACTTTTTATCACTTCACTAACAATGTCTGTAATTCCAAAAATGTATGGGTAAGAACATGGTGAAACAGAAATTTCAGGTGCCCCAAGATATATCTCCTTTTCATGTTCTAGTTCTCCATAAAATTATTATGGTGCTTTAACGATTCTACTTTTTTCCCCCTGAGACTCTTAAATTCCAATATTCGTGAACCAAGAAATCACATCTGCTAAACTTTCTTTCTCTGTGACTCCACCTCTAAAAAAAAATATAGCAATAAAATCAAGAACTAGAACATGATAACGTGAGAGTTTTCCTCACCGGGCAACACATATAGAGAGTTTTATGAGAACTTGCCAAACCATCCAGGACAGTGTGGTGGATGTACTCTAAATTAAAAGTACAACGAATTAAACAAGGAGAAAAATATTCTCTCAACATCTGGTAGAAGAAGAAGTGAAGTTTCTTCATGTGATGAGGGAGAGTTTTACAGATCAATGAAGCTTGAGAAGAACTTGCAGAGGGCTTAGTTGAGAAATGGTAAATTAAAAAAAGAAATGGTAAAACACCTAATGCTATGCATAACTAATAGGATATGAGCCAATAAGAAAAGAAAGAAATAAAAAGAAAGGTAAAATAGAAAATCAAAAGATATGTTGGGGTGGGGAAAACACGACATTGATGGAGAGGGCCCAGTGACCCCCCCCCCCCCCGCCCCCGATCTAGGAAATACGTTGGCAGACTGGGCTCTAAGTGAATTCTTATGGTTCCCTTGTCCTCCACAGGTAACACCCCCTGGATGCCTCCAGAGGACAAGGTGAGCCTCATTTCCCTCTGTCACCACCACCTCCAGCCCTTTCCTTCTCACCCTTTCAAGTTCCTCCGCTGTCTTCTTTCCGTCCCAGCATGCCTTGATTGTCTACTCTGAGGTGAAGACACAGCTGCCAGTTGACTCAGATGGAAAAGTTGGCTCCAATGATGAAGATGCAGAAGAATATTATGAAAATATCGTACTCATGTGACTTGACCCTCCAGGCCCTCGGAGCAAGCAACAGATGCAGCTTTCTGACACTTACACCGTATGCACTCACCCCCAAGACGCCTCATTATCCACCCTGAAGCAGTGATGGGATGACCTCTGGCAGCCTTTGCTAAAATGACTGGGTTCTTGTCCAGAGCTAGAAGAAGACTCTGTTCACTTGCTCTGGGCCCGATCTAATGTGTTCTCCAGAATCTGATTTAGGGCAGGAGAATAAGGAGAGAAAGAGAAAGAATGCTTTTGAAAAATAGAAACATAGATTTTAGTGAATTAGGACTTGTACAAAGATAGAAAAGACTGAGCAATGTGGTTCTCCTTTTAATACCTTTGTGATTCCTTCAGCAGAGAACCCTTGACATCCTTTGGTGTAGCTGTGAGCAGTTGTACTACAGAGACCTGAACAGCCCCTCCCCACCTGCCTGCAGTTTGCTCTGTCAGGATTCAGGTGAAGATGAAAAGATCCACTTCAAATGGTTTATGGAGAAAGGATTTTTTTTTCCCCAAGATTTTAAACACTTACAAAATCTTCAGGAGAGCTAGAGAAGCAGGCTTTAGGCTAAACTTCCCAAAGCAAAAGGGATTTATGTTACTATCACTTGGAACACAACCTTATAACATTAGAGAAAAAGAGATATAATAGAAAATTAAAAAGCAATTTTGCAAACCTAAATTTGAATTTGAAATATCAGTATAAATTCATGATTAAACTCCACATTTTAAAAAAATGTGCACTTCTAGGTTCATCCACTGAAAAGACATAATCATCAGTTAAACAGCGATAAGCACTCCTTGCAAAGGTTATAGTCTCTAAACACCCTGTCCTCCTCAAGTGAAAATAGGGCTGTCTTTCTTGTAAGAGTATTGTCTTTGAGTTATCAAATAGTTACCGAGAGAATAATTCTTCCAAAAAATAAGAAAACGATGAAAGAAATAGGAAATCACTGTCTCTCATGATGTTTCATGCTGCCCCTACTGGTTAACATGAAAGAGAAAAACCACAGCCAAACAACAAGTGGCTTCTGGTGGAAAAATACAGTACAGTACCACCTATGGAGTACTGATGCCCCAAATATCAAAACTGAATCCCAGGGTTGGGGATGTAGCTCAGTTGGTAGAGGGCTGGCCTCTCATGTCTCATGCACAAGGACCTGGGTTCAATCCCCAGCACCAAAAAAAAAAAAAGAAAACTGAATCCCATCAAGTCTTTAGACCTAATTACTAGTTTATAGGAAATACATGAAACAAAGGAATGGGTTAGAATAGCATCAGGGGATTGCAACCAACAAAATGCAAACTGTGGGAAAATTCTACAGGACCAATGACCTGGTTTCCTCACTAATAAATGGGAAGGGAGGGAGGGAGGAAGAAAAGAGAGAACAGGAGAAAAAGAAGAGCAAGATAAAGAGAAAAGGGAGAAAGTCATAAATTAAATAGTACTCGAGACCTATCAACCAGAAAGAATGAGCAGGCCCTGTTTGGAATCTGATTCAAACAAATCCAGGGAAGAAAGGGAAAAAAAAAACCCACTTATGAAATATTAAGAGAAAATTGGATGCTAATACTAAGAAATTCTTGTGTTTTGGATAGAAGTGATAGTATGGTTATATTCTTATAAAAACAAAAAGGCACTCGTTTTTAGAGCTTATGTTGAAGTACTGAATGAAAGGTGTTAGCATAAGTTCAATGCACATTAAAGAAGAGGATTAAATGATAGATTTGACTTGAAGGAATCGATGGGGGAGGGTGGGGAGAAGAGGGCAGGGATACCGGACCCCTCATGCATGCCCCATCTTTGAAGGTGAGTGATGGGTTCCTTGTGTGGGGGAGGAAGTGGGGTTTATACTATTATTATTCCTGCTTAGACTCTTCGATTCTTTTTGTGTTTTTAATTTTCCACAATAAAAAGTTAAAATCCCTATGCCCAGAATGCCACCTCCTTTGTCACTCCCTGATTCGACCCCTGAGGCAACTCTCACTTCTGCTGCAAGAGTGGGGGTCTCCTCTCTTTGTTCCTTTCCTCCCCCAGGGTTTATTGACTCATCCCTCATCCCCACAGTCCTCCAGGGACTCCTTGCATGAGGCCACAGAGCTGCATGGTGACCTCCAGCTGATCCTGGCACATCTAACCAGGATAGACATTTTTCCCTCTGTCAACTGGTCATGGGAAATTTACCACCAAGCCATGGTTGTGGGGTTAGAGAGCAGCACAATATGAGCCAGTCATTGTTTATTCAATTTACTGTTGCTTTCAGGTCATGTCAGAACCCTGCCCATTGTGTCCACGTAAGGAAGGAATGATCTTGAGCATGTGTGACTTTTTGGTTTTTAGATAAGAAACTTCCAGTTTGAAATGAGCAAGTCAGATCTCTGGTGAATCATGGTGAAGTATTCAGTGATCAAGACAACCCAATTCTAGCCAATAGCTTTCTTTTTTTTTAAACAAAATAAAGACAGTTATTTTAAGAGGGCACGGTTTTGCTTCAAAACTATAGGGTCTCCTCTCAAAGCTTGCTGCAGACTTTGCACAACATCCTGAATAGCCACTGCACTCCTGGGTCTTTTCAATATGCTAGATTATAAAAGCCGAGAACAGAGCCGGCTGCACAGTAGCCTAGACAAGCTAAAGACCTCTTGTTTGCTCAAGAGCCCACTCAGAGACAGTAGTTTTATTCAATTGTTGAGACTGAACAGGGCAACCAAATGTCACCCAGAGGCCTTTCAAATGTAGGGTTTCTTTCTTGATAAAATGGCAACAACAACTTAATTTTCTTTGAAAGCACTTTTCCAACCTGCTGTAGAGAGCCAACTACATAGTAAAACCGAAGAGAAAAGGGGTTAAATCAACATAGAAATAAAAAATAATTTGCTAACTTATAGCAGCAAAAATCTGGATATTTTGCTAAGAATAAAATACCAAGGATGGAAGAATAGAACTCTGAGGTTAAATAAATCAATATACTTGGAAAAGATTCTGAATGCTAGTACTGGTTTTTACAATCTTTATTGGTCCATGACAGTGAGATTCATTGTAACATATGCACTCCTCCACATAATATAATCTGATTAATTTCACTCCCCAGGATCTCCCGTAGTTATCCCCTCCTGCCTCCTGCGATGACTTTCCTCTGCCTTCTGATCTCCCTTAGATTTTTATGAGATTCCCTTTGTTCCCTTTTTCTGACTCCTACATATGAGAGAAAACATATAACGCTTCGCTTTTCAGAGTCTTGCTTATTTCATTTCACATGAACCTCTCAATGAGCAGGAGTTTTTCAAGTCAAGATATTCCAAGTCCGTAACGTGTTGCTTGTTCGCTTTACGCTCTTAGACAAGTTACAGGTTAATTTTCTGGGTTTCATTTCCTTCTCTGCAAAATGAAGGTCACGTCTGCCTCCTGGAGTTCTTGGGGGAAACGTGCCCCATTCAGGCTTTCACACTTACTGTTCCTTTTCTATGAGGTCTTCTGTGACCTCCTGTTTAGTTAGCAACCTGCTCAACTAAATACCTCTCATCCATATTCATATTTCTCCAAGTACATTTCAACTTCTGATATTCTATTTTTTTCTTCTTTATCTGATTTCTCCACCAACAATTGGTGCTCTAAAAGGAAAGGGACTTTGATCTGTTTTGTTCCCTAACGTATTCCAAGCGCATCTTCTCAGAAGCCAACACATAGCAAGCACTTAGGTAACATTTGTGAATTATGAGGATTATATAAAGCAATAAATGCAAGTGCCTGATAGTGAACTTCTCTCATATAAGTACTCAATACATGTGAATTGATAGTATTACTATTATTGCACTCACATTTTGTAACTCAACAAATATTTATTGAGCACTTAGTATGCATCAAACACAAAGATTGGTCAGAAAAAGTGTCTCTTCTTAAGAAGTTTCCAAAGTAATGTACTGAAAGAGATAGATACATTTTTTAAAAAAAACTTTCACATAACATAGAAGTAACATTAGTGTGTACTTAGCCTGTGATTTAGGGAAAATAACATTAATAGTCATAACTGATGACCTCAGACATCTCAGGAGCTCTCTAAAACAAAATACCAACCTTTGCATCCAGGCTGAAGGGGATGGTTCTGCTCCATACCGTCATCTTGGAACCCAGGTCCTTGCATCTCACAGAGTCACTCTGTTCAGGGTTCCAAATTCTCTGTAAAAGGAAAGAGTGTGTGGACTTTACAGGTCAGCCCTGAAAATGGTATGCATTCCTTCCTCCCACATTCCCTCTGCCAGAACTTAGCCACAGCTCCCTGCCTAACTCAGAAGGTACAGATATGATCAGCACCCTAGTTAGGCAGTTGTTGCCACATTAAGCCAAGGGAAATACACAAGGACATTTTCCTGGGGGAGGCAGCAGACACAGAAATCACTGACGTGTGGAGACAGGAAAATATGAGTTCAAAGCTAGGTCACAGTTAGTAGCTCTACAATCTTGGTTAGTGGCTATGTGACCTTGCTGAAGTTACTCAAATTCTGACCTACTTTCTAGCTCAGAAAAAATGGAAAGAACTATAGAAATTTAATTGATGTGAACTCAGAAACACATGAAATTTTAAGAACAGTGCCTGGAACATAGTATTTAATACATGTGTGAAATAGATAATGCATCAAGGCATAAAAGAGCAAAATGTGTTCAGGACAGTGCAGTTGAGTAGCAGAGTTGCATAATATACTGCTGCACTCAGGACCTTGGCTTCTAACTACCCAGGGCCACTGGAGTTTTAAAGTCAATCAACATTCAGATTAGCCCTTCAGACAGGCCCTCCTGGTGGCTGTGTAAAAGATAACTGTAAGGGGGTGGGTAGACCTGCTGGTGACAGGGAGAGATCACTATCATCAGGTTAGCTGAAGGGGACCAGAGCCAGAGACTTGTTAGAAAGGTTGGGTGCAAAACTAGTTTTGTGGGAAACTCAGTAAAAGCAGTTGGTTGATTGGAGGTGAAAGAGGGGGTTTAGAATGACTCCCTGGACTAGGTCTCGAGGAACCAGGGAAATGAGGGAACACAAAGAGACGAGCAGAATCCAGACCCACTGCCCACCCTGCACTCGCGCTTGGTTCAGATTTTCCCAGTCGGCTCCCACAACAATTTTGAGATGCCCTTCAGCTTTCTTTCACCCGGCACGTTACTTTGTGGCCTCATTTTTTTTTTTATTGGTGCTTTGTACATAATATCATACATAACAGTGGGGTTTATTATGCTGTATTTGTACATGCACCTACTGTCGTTTGATCAATTTCATTCCCCCTTTCTATTTCCCTCTCCTCCTTTCTTCCTTGATTCACTTTCTTTACGGATCCCTTTCTATTAGTTGTTTTTTTTTTTTTTGTACCAACCCAGGGGTACTTAACCACTGAGCCACATCCCCAGCTCTTTATATTTTATTTTATTTTTTTAAATTTAGAGACAGGATCTCACTAAGTTGCTTAGGGCCTCGCTAAGTTGCTGAGGCTGGCTTTAAACTTGCAATCCTCCCGCCTCAGCCTCCCGAGTCACTGGCATTAGTGGAATGCACTCTGCGCCCTAACTATTATTGTAATTTTAATGGGTGCATTATAATCACATACAAAAGCGAGATTCCTTGCGTTGTACTCGTACCCAGATGTAACACACCTTGGTAGACTTTTGTTCCGCAGTACTTCCCCGTTTCCACCCTGAACCTTCCTCTGGATCCCTTTTCTCTGCTCGGTTATCTCACTTCTGTTTTTGTGAGATCCCCTTTTATTTAATTCCTTTTCTCTCTCTAACTTTCACATGAGAAATTTTTAAAGACTTTCGGATGCTTCTGACGATTCCTTGCCTTTTACTCTTGAGCCAAGTTAGAAAGTTTCCCTGTATAAGTTCTATGATCCTTTTAGTTCCTAGGTTTCATGGTCCCCTTTTATCACGACCTTCCTCTGTACCCAGAAACTCCATCCCAACTCTTGCTGGTCCTGTTTAATAAAATCTCTAAACTAAAGTATGAACTTGAGGTAAGATATAAAAACAGCTCCCACCCAAACGGCGGTTCAAGAGCCACAGAAAGAGGAACCCCAAGATAAATATATCATTCATGTTTATGCAAACGTGTGTTGGGTCATCGGACTTCCCAGAGGCATGGAAAAATAATACCGCAAACATTTACATAAGCTGGAGGGTTTGGTGGAAAGCCTCAAACCCACGGGCTTCTATTATTTTCTGGTTTAAAAATTAGGATTTTCATTAGAAAAGGAGATTGGCTCACCTGCACAGGGTCCTCCTTTCAAGAAGCCACAATTCCTCCCAGGAAGCTGCCCAGGGACTACAGAGAAGATAACAAAATTAGATGCAAAACTGGTTATGTAATTTATGGGGCCTGGTGTGAAATTAAAATGCAAACTCCCTCATTTAAAAGGCAAGAAATAAATGTACCATTGAAGGCACTAAAATATAACAGGGCCTGGTGGTACATGCCTGTAATAACAGCTACTTGAACCCAAGTTTGAGGTCAACTTAGTGAAACCCTATCTCAAAATAAAAAAAAATAGAAA